AGTTCTAGAAATGTGGTGTGACACTAGTCACGTGACCTCGCTGACGCAACACTTTGTTAGTAAAATCGAAGAAAATGCAAAATTTAATAACCCAGCCATCTCATAATCATCAGATATGAGCCTTCCTTTATTATCCCTTAAGGGTCCAAATAGTTTGTTTACCCTTAATTTATTTAAAGAAATTCTGACTGTTAATTTTTACATTTTCATCCAACCTTTTCTCATACATCCTTTTTCATGTCCTAGTTTCCTGTTTCACCAACTTTCTTGATCTTCTATAATCTCCTAAATCTCCTGTCATACAAGTCAATTTGAATTTCTTAAATTTATAATGCTTTTATACACTACTATGGTTCAGAAAATAAAACTTGTTTTGTTTTTACTATCACGGCTTCATCACTGAGTAATTACATTTTCCTGATGAAGCTGTAAGTATAATGGCAAAACGTTCTGAAAAGTTAGCTGAAACAAATTTTAGTTTTTAAATGTATGGCTGTGTTGTAAGTATTTAAACAAGTAAATTATTTATGGCCAAAAGGTGTCGCTATAGCATTTCGACGTCAAAACGGATTGTTTGTACTGTTTTACTTTTAGGAATCACCATGCTATGCTAAATAAATCGAAACTATTTCAGAAGTCTGTAATTTGACTGTTGGTTCCATGTTGATGAGGTAAATAGAAAATTGTTATAAGTGGATCTAAAGTTAAAATTGAAACTGGGTGTAAACTTACAAGCAATAAAATTTAGTAGAATTTTAAAAAGAAATCACAACTAATTATTGCCATATTATTGCCATTTTTATTAATATGTTGCTTTGGAAAGAAAATTTAACTGAAACTGAAAAACATGTACATCAACTATCAGTATGAGGCTATCAAGCCCTTTAATTTTTAATGTTTAAGTATAACTGTAACTTTCATAACTTACAATAACTAAGGTAACCCTTCGATTTCCGAAATTATCCTTTTTGGAGTAGCTCTGACCATTTTCAAATTCAAGTAATTGAGTAAGTCAATTTCGCTTCTAAGTTTTAAGCAGCATAAGGAGACCAACAATGTACACAGTATACCAAGTGAGGCCTAATTGATGATTTGTTAAGTTGGTTGACCGCCCAGTATTCCAATGGCCCAATAGTCCAAAAGCTAGATTTTTGGTTTTTGCAATATTATAGGTCAAAACTGAATGAATAAACAAATTCGAAGGTCCATAATAGATGAATGAAATATCAAATGAAAAGTTTAAAGGGCATCTCTTGTCTTGGTGGGGGTATGGGGGACCAGCTACTCCTGACTGCTTGCACTCATTTAAAATACAAACAACAGAAATATTTGAATGGACATTGTAGTATTCAGTTCATTGCATTGTTCTAGTATTAAGATAATTTTACTGACTGAAAGCTTTCAACATGTTTAATGAATCAGCTATATGACAATTGTTGTCTCAGAACTATGGAGTAAGAACAGCTAGATTCTTAAATCCAAACCTGATGCATATAAATATGTATGTTCTGCAGCTAACACTATACACGGGTACAAGAAAATCACATTGGGGAAATGACGATAAACATTATTCAACCCTTCATGAGAAATTGCAACCTTTTTGATCATATACTGGGGTATTTTTGTCATAAAATTTCACAAATTTAAACAATCAATCAATTTAACATTACATTTTAACTGTTAAAAAACTTGCATCTTTAGATTATTGGGCCTTTGGAGTAATGGGCCCTCAGGCTAATGGACTATCACCATTAACTTACAGTAACAGTAGCTGTGTTTTGGTTATACTACTACTAGTAGTAGTAGGACTAACATAGTAGCAACTTTTTTGATTTGTAATCAATGTTTATAAATACATTTTAAAATTCTATTAATTTTGATACTTTAGTACTATCAACAGTGCAATGCTTCAGTAGTTTGAATGACTTATCATCACTATGCCAAGTTTCTTATGTCCAGGTATGGTGTTTTGTGTGTTCTCATCCTAAGTAGATTGTATTAAACTATTATGTATATAAATGTGATCCAAAATATGATAACCCAAATGTATTACCTTGTACTTACTGTAATAAGTTTTAAACTTTAGCATATTTGCTGAACTTATCCATTGATCTAGCCCTTCTCTAGTACCTCAGCATTCTTAATATAGTTAGAGATACTCGAAAGATTAAAGTTGTCAGCAGACTCTACTGATTTGCTAATTATGTCCTATCAATATTATTAATGTAAATAAGAAAAAAACCAAGTATCTGACCTCTTTGTCACTACATAGTTTGTAGGATGTGATGGGTGCAAGGAGTGGGTTTTATTTGGCCATTCAGGACTGACATATACTTTTAAGAAAACTAGTATTGAAGAAGTGCAACTTATTTATGGAGTTTGCTGGTTGGAGGAGAAATTGAAAGCTATTCAAAATAGAGTAGAAGCAATAAAGAAAAGAATAAACTGTGAGAAATGCCACCAGAGGAACATAAGGTTTAACATGCAAGAGAAAAATTAGCTAATAATAACATAATATAACGTTTTGGAACAACATGGAACCTATTGGGCCATCTTCTAAACTGAACTAAAACTTAAATTAATAAATAATTTAAAAAAGCTTAAATGCAGCCCTTACCATTCATATAGTTATCAAGCTTTCTCTTAAACTCACTTAAATTTACTACTTCGACAACATCCAAAGGTCAACTACCCTGTTAAAAAAATGAAACTGTCTTAGCTGAAGATGACTTCTACCCTGCCAAAATTTATATTTGTGTCCCCTATTCCTACTATTCTCACTGTTAAGTATGATAAAAGATGATGCATCAATACTATCAATTCCTTTTACAATCTTAAACATCTCAATCAGATCTCCCCTAAATCTTCTTTTTTTCAAGAGAAAATAATTTGAAAGATTTCAACCATTTTTAGTATGACAACCTCTCCATTCTGGACACCATTCTAGTAACCCTTCTCTGAATCCTTTCCAACAATTCAATGTCTTTCTTAAGGTAAGGAGCCCAAGACTGAACACAATATTCGAAATGTGGCCTAACCAGTGATCTATACAATGAAAGTACAACATCTTTAGACTTGTGTTCAATATTTCTGTAGATATACAACCTAAAATCCTATTTGCCCTACCACTAGCAACAGCATACTGTTTGGATGGCTTTATAGACTGATCAACTATTACATCAAGATCCCTTTCTTTCATGACACTGTTAAGGTTATTCCCATCCAAATTATACGTACAATTATAATTGTGATAACCCACATGTATTATTTTGAATTTATTATAATTAAAACCCATCTGCCATTTATTTCTCCAGTTTACTAATTATTCCAAATCCTTTTGTATAGTAGCATCCTCCTCACAGCTAGCAACACCGAAGACCTTAATATCATCAGTAAATTTAAATAACTTGTTTACCATTCCTTCATCTATATCAGTGATATAAATGAAAAGGAGCAAAGGTCCTAAGACTAAGCCCTGAGGTACCCCACTTGTGACATTAATCAAGTTTGACTGAACTCTGTTTATAACAACCCTATGCTTTCTTCCATCCAGCCATTCTTCTTAAATTCTTTTAAATTCAGACATATAGATTAGAAGATGTTACAGTCAAACCATGAGGGAGACAAGTTTTTAGAAACTGTTCAGGATGGTTTCTTCACCAGATGGTCAGGGAACCTACAAGGAACAATGCTATTTTAAGTTTATTGTTAACTTCCAATGTAGAAATGGTGTAAGGAATGATAAAGCTCATGGGACGGCTAATACTTTCTTCAGGGTTTGAATATGTGAGCCACTTGCTACTATTTTTTTTATATCCTTGGGTAGTGGGCAGTTATCAGAAGATTGGAAGTTAGCTAATATAACTCCTCTTTTCAAAGGAGGTGATAAAAATTGCCCTAGTAATCATAGGTCTGTTAGTCTTACAACCATGGTGGAAAATGAAAGTCTGATAAAAGATGCCTTGTAAAGTCATTTAACAATGTTTACAACTGATAGCTAGTTAGCATAATTTCATTAGTGGAAAATCTTGCCTTACTAATATTTTGACATTTTTGAAGAGGTTACTCTTTATGTAGATGAAAGTAGAGGTGTGAATTTGGTGTTTCTGGATTTTCAGAAAGCATTTAACAAGGTGACACATAAAAAGCTTGTTCAGAAAGAGATTTTTTTATAGGTATGGAGGCTAAGTTGACTTATTGAATTGAATTGTGGCTAGAGGGAAGAAAGCAAATGGTTGTTATAAATGGAGTTCAGTGAAACTTGACTTCTGTCAAGAGCTCACAATAAGTGGTATTTGCTGGTTGATCAATTGATTACCCCATTAATCAATTAAATTTGAGTAATCAGTTAGTACAGTGCTTCCAACCAATGTACCTACAAGTTGGTGGCAGATGCTGTCACTCAGTTGCCTTGCCTCCTGTCAGCAGTTCAAAACTACTCACAGTGACAGATAGACTTGGTGGCCTTACTATAACAAAGATAAGGCGAGCAAATTTAGTGGCAGTGGAAATTGAAATCAAGACCCTTGAATCATAACCCTCCCCCAACTTGAATCACTAGTGCATAACAAAGTTGACGTAAAAAAAGAAATACTTATAAGGCTAAAACTGGGCTGAGCATAGGTAGCCTATTATGTGGCTTTGTGCTTAAAAACAAAAACAAATATACTCTTTGAATTATTTGGATAGTTGGAATAAATGAAAATAGTCAGAAACCCTAATTTCATTTAATTCATTATTTTTGTAACAATTGATTTAATCATAATCTTGGTTAATTGATTTTAGAAATAATGTAAAACAGTAATAATAAGATAGAAATTTCCATTAACCCTATTAAGATGAGTAATGGTCAGACAGCATGTCATCACGTTTGTAGATTTACATTCAACATTTTATTTAGCTATTATTTTATTAATGTATGTCAATAAGTTTGGTACCAAATTATAGATTATAATTCAAATTTTAGCATTATACATTAGTTAGTTTCTTAATTTGAAACTAAATATTTAAAAAAAAGCTAAATATCATATCTTGTATGTCACATTGTCTCCTGGGTTTGGTCAGATTACATTCTATGATGCCCACAATATAACATCTATAGTTTCGTATGAATTAGAAACTCAATTGTTCAATATTAGCAAGCTAGAATATAAAATAAGAACCTCCTACCTTTTCTATTTGCTGAGATACCATGATATTTAGCGAACCCACCATATTGGCCCCGCCCACCACTTCATCATTCTGAGAATTTTGCTGCATGAACTTATTTGATATTGACGGTGTTAAAGTACGGTAACACCTAAACAGGAATGGTAATTCATTGCTTTGTATTTGACAGGTTTCTACTTCAGCTGCTAACAGTGAAATAAACATATGAAATAAGTGTAAAAAGATTAGAAGAAACTCTCAAGAGCTTTACTTGGAACTTCATTGTCTGTACTGAAAAGAACAGAGCACTATTAATTTTGTTTCTTCTAATTTCTAATTCATCTACTGGCAATAAAATAACTACAGAAAATATGTGTGAAAAGGTGAGAGTGAAAACTCTGGCCATAAGTACTTTGAAGATTTGTAATCACTACTAACAATATTATACATTTTATTTTGCAAACTTTATTTTTGTTATAATTTGATTACTTACCTACAACCTGGAGAAATATATATATATATA